CAGACCTTGTAAAAAAATAAAATATTTTCCAACTCCAAACAATGGGGAAATGTACTTTGAAACTAAAACGTACCTTGTAAAGCATATCGATGTCGTAGAAAGCGGACAAGATGGTTGCAGACATCTCTTTTTCTGAAGTTCTGTCACAGTAGCTCTCATAGAGGACCAACCAGGATCCTTCAATGCACGAGGCAACTGTTGTAAATTGTGCCTCAACTGGTTTTAGAACGTTCTGAAAAACGAATGTGCAATTCCAGTGGTAGAGATGAAACAACAAGTAGGTGAAAGTTCCTTGTGTTGTAGGTTCTTCCTTAGAGAAGCGCTGAGCCAGACTGCTTCACTAACTACTTTTCCTCTGCACATGGATATAAATGCTTTGCGGTGGCTCGCATGGGTGGAGTTTTCTGAAGTTGTAGCAAAGTTTGGCAGGGCACGCCCCCGTTTTCAAATGTCTTCCAGTCACTGGTTGGCCTCCTATTATTATACCCCGCCTTGAAATTCTCCTCCAAAATTCTACTACACAACGAAATTGTGTAAAGTTCCATAGAATTAGTAATTAGAATACTAATACTAGTAATTTGATAGGATCTCTATGCTTGAATCCAGCAATAGCGTACAGTAGTAGTTGCTAGAAAAGTCATGTATCTTTGTACACGTTTAGACAAATACACAATACAAACTGTAAAGACCACTGCTTTTGATCTCGCTCTGTTTCGCACGCTTGAGTGGGACAGCAAGTGTTGGGGAAATCATATGAATTAATGCAGCCAGAGTGCAATGCATTTTTTTGTTTCGGTTTGTTCGAGTGGTTGCATAATGATAATCCACACCGCCGAAATGATGCTCTTGTCCAGGGCTCTAAAACCCTGTTCCTGGAGAGCTATTGTCCTATAGGTTCACTCCAGCACTCATTTCTAGCGCACCTGATTCAAATAGCTTGTTGATAAACTGAATCAAGTTAGTAACAACTGGGGTTGGAGCGAAAACCTACAGCTCTCCAGGAACAGGGTTGGGGAAGCCCTGCGCATAGTCTATTACGAATGACAAAAGACAGTAATTGTCCACTCCAACGTGGTCAAATAACCTACTTATATTTTTCAAAAGACATTACATAAGAATAGAGTTGATTGGCCTCCCAGTATTCAATTGTTGTGCAGCACAACACATTTACATATACGATGGTTAATTGAAATATAACAAGAAAACGAGTTCAAAGTAGCACTCATTGAATTTCCAACCAGCCACTCATTATACACAGAGCGTTCAGCCATCTAGTCTATACTGTGGCTCAGCCGCACACAATCTCAGAACACTCAGTTGACTGAAAGAATGTGAATCTCTGTAAAAAGAAGTGAAACACTGCCCCCCTGAGAGCAACGCCCAAAATGAATTTACAGACTTGAGCGCCACCTGCTGAGGTGCAAGGCATGATTTAAATTTAAAATATCCTATTTTGTCAGTGCGATGTACCAAAAACGAACACAATTGAAAGCTATGAAAGTGTGAGAATGAAAATACTCTAAATTGGAGCCAAACCAAGTTCACAGCCACATACAAAGACTGCATAATTAGCAATGAGGTGCAGAGCAGAAGCAGGGTTATATTAGGGTCCCACAAGGGATATCTTTTTGTTTGGAATGTTACAATTATGTACAAAACATATCACCATAAATTGCAGGTTTCTGTGACACCAGTTACCATCAAGTCTTTCCCAAATGACCAAATCTGAAAGTGCATTGTGCTGCCTTTTGTATCATTCAATAATCATACTGTGGTTTAGCTGCTGAGAGCTGGATATAAAAAAAGCCAACTAGCAACAGCTGAAAACAAATGACAACAGGTTGGAATCTACTACTACGAACCCTTCAATTTGAGCTGGGGCTGCACTCCTATTTGAGCTTGAGCGTTTATGATGATAAATATTCTAATGCCAAGGACGGCAAGCCTCATACTTTGAGAAATCCCTTGAACAAGTCCTCATCTGCAAAAAACACTCTCCCATCACACAGTGCTGTTTTTATTGGGGGATGTTCAAGTGTTCCAAAACATTACAGAATTTTTACAGTAACAGGGAACATTGCCAGTACTACAGAGCGAGACTGCCCAGCTGTCTGCACGGGTCGCAGGCACAGGACAGTGGACCATTGTATTGCCCTCCTAATTACATAACCTAGGAAACCAAGGGTGCATAAAAACCTATTCAAATGGATGAGAAGAGTCCACTGGAAAACGTGTTAAATATATGAAAATGACCTATCTTACAACATAACCGAGGACAGCTGTAAATGGAACAAATAGAATTCCGAGGGTAATTTAGGGTGAACACATCTGCTTTAGCAACCCATGCATTGTCAATGGATTTACTCTCTCCTACCCACTAAAACCACACTGTTGGTGCTTGTTTTTGAGGCCCTTATGGCTCAGGCGGTTGTGTGGATTTAATCTAAATGTCCGAAGTACACAACAGCTTTGGAGGCTATGTTTATGTGGAGTAGAGTGCACTGTATACATGTCGCTGGTTCGAATCCCCGAGGCCGGCAAGGTGTAAAGATGTGCTGTTCTGCCCTTGAGCAAGGCAGTTAACCCCCAACAACAACTGCTCCGCTGGCGTCGATGACGTGGACGTTGATTAAGGCCCTTCGCACCTCTCAGATTCAAAGGGGTTGGGTTAAATGCAGAAGACCCATTTCGGTTGAATGCTTTCAGTTGTGCAACTGACTAGCCCTTTCCCTTTCCTTATCCATGTGACAGTGTAGTTGATATGAGAACAGTGTATGAAGTGTTATGTAGTGCTAAAGGAATACTATGTCCCAGCACATAGGTTGAAGCCTCAGTGCTCAGTCCTGTTGTACAAGGTGCTGTGAGGAAGCATACATACAGTGGGGGGAAAAAGTATTTAGTCAGCCACCAATTGTGCAAGTTCTCCCACTTAAAAAGATGAGAGGCCTGTAATTTTCATCATAGGTACACGTCAACTATGACAGACAAAAATAGATTTTTTTCCTCCAGAAAATCACATTGTAGGATTTTTAATGAATTTATTTGCAAATTATGCTGGAAAATAAATATTTGGTCAATAACAAAAGTTTCTCAATACTTTGTTATATACCCTTTGTTGGCAATGACACAGGTCAAACGTTTTCTGTAAGTCTTCACAAGGTTTTCACACACTGTTGCTGGTATTTTGGCCCATTCCTCCATGCAGATCTCCTCTAGAGCAGTGATGTTTTGGGGCTGTCGCTGGGCAACAAGGACTTTCAACTCCCTCCAAAGATTTTCTATGGGGTTGAGATCTGGAGACTGGCTAGGCCACTCCAGGACCTTGAAATGCTTCTTACGAAGCCACTCCTTCGTTGCCCGGGCGGTGTGTTTGGGATCATTGTCATGCTGAAAGACCCAGCCACGTTTCATCTTCAATGCCCTTGCTGATGGAAGGAGGTTTTCACTCAAAATCTCACGATACATGGCCCCATTCATTCTTTCCTTTACACAGATCAGTCGTCCTGGTCCCTTTGCAGAAAAACAGCCCCAAAGCATGATGTTTCCACCCCCATGCTTCACAGTAGGTATGGTGTTCTTTGGATGCAACTCAGCATTCTTTGTCCTCCAAACACGAAGAGTTGAGTTTTTGCCAAAAAGTTCTATTTTGGTTTAATCTGACCATATGACATTCTCCCAATCCTCTTCTGGATCATCCAAATGCACTCTAGCAAACTTCAGACAGGCCTGGACATGTACTGGCTTAAGCAGGGGGACACGTCTGGCACTGCAGGATTTGAGTCCCTGGCGGCGTAGTGTGTTACTGATGGTAGGCTTTGTTACTTTGGTCCCAGCTCTCTGCAGGTCATTCACTAGGTCCCCCCGTGTGGTTCTGGAATTTTTGCTCACCGTTCTTGTGATCATTTTGACCCCACGGGGTGAGATCTTGCATGGAGCCCCAGATCGAGGGAGATTATCAGTGGTCTTGTATGTCTTCCATTTCCTAATAATTGCTCCCACAGTTGATTTCTTCAAACCAAGCTGCTTACCTATTGCAGATTCAGTCTTCCCAGCCTGGTGCAGGTCTACAATTTTGTTTCTGGTGTCCTTTGACAGCTCTTTGGTCTTGGCCATAGTGGAGTTTGGAGTGTGACTGTTTGAGGTTGTGGACAGGTGTATTTTATACTGATAACAAGTTCAAACAGGTGCCATTAATACAGGTAACGAGTGGAGGACAGAGGAGCCTCTTAAAGAAGAAGTTACAGGTCTGTGAGAGCCAGAAATCTTGCTTGTTTGTAGGTGACCAAATACTTATTTTCCACCATAATTTGCAAATAAATTCAACAATGTGATTTTCTGGATTTTTTTCTTCTCAATTTGTCTTTCATAGTTGACGTGTACCTATGATGAAAATTACAGGCCTCTCATCTTTTTAAGTGGGAGAACTTGCACAATTGGTGGCTGACTAAATACTTTTTTCCCCCACTGTACACATACCGTCCTGTGGTTGTTTTTATGAATCACGAGGCACATGAATTAGGCATCTTTAATTTGAAAAACAAAAACAAAACTCGAACATAAACACTTTCAGCAGTACATTCCCTTATAAAACAAATACATCCACCGCTGATTAAAATTTAAATGTTAGTCATTAAAATGTGTACTGCTTGCATAATTGTTCAAATCAAAATATTTATTGGAGTCTAAAAGTAGCGAGACCATTGATGTATTTCCAGACACTCCAGGCACTGAGTGATGTCTCATAGCTGAAAAATGTAATTCCATAAGTGTGGTTAATGCATCATACTCCAACCATTTTCCCCCATCCGTTATCTTGACAAGTGAATACTTTACAGAACTCCAACCTGCATTTCTATCGAGGGATGGTTCTGTATTGCGGGATTGTCTCAATCTACAAACCAAATCTACCTTTACTCTGGTCTTGAGCCCTGAAACTGACCAAGGATGTTAACTTACTAGTGGCTATGGTGTCTTAGACCAACATTGACCTTCCCTGGTCCTCAGCCTGACAGCCCAGTCTGTCTCAGGGTCCCCAGTATATCCAGAGCCAGTGTGGCCCTCTCCTGCTGCAGGGCCAGCCGGGTGTGCTCTATGCTGCAGGAGAACTGGGGCAGGGCTGGGAGGCCATCCAGAGCCTGCTGGGTGGCCAGGGATAGGGCCTCTGCCGAAAGTCTGAGCAGCTCTGCCTGCTTCTGGTTTAGAGCCTTCAGCCCTGGGGCCTTGAAGAGGACACCCAGGTGTCTGTGTAGCAGACGTGCCCACTGAACAGGCTCAGCCCAAAGGTTCAGATCGCCCTTCTCAAACAGTAATTCCTCTTCATCCTGTGCAGAGGAGATGAGAGTGAATGGAAGATGAGAACTAATGTGTTCAAATGGAAGGTGGAAGAGGGTAATGAATGGATCCAGATTGAATTAAGTTAATTTGATGCTTTAATGCATTTCAGAGATTGGTTGTAGAGGGATGAAGAAGAAGATACTCTGCCAAAGGGCATAGACATCAACTCCCCATTCCATCTCATCTCATCCAGTCGAATCCCAACTCTTTGGAAGGTGTGTGTTTCTCCTTACCAGGCCAGCTGCCTCTACTGTGGCTGTCTCTTGCTCCTGGTCTCCCTTGACGTCTCCCAGCAGCCACTCTGTCAGGGTGAGGATGCCCGTTGGCACCTGCCTCCACAGCTGGAACAGCTGGCATAGCAACCCCACACCCATGTCCAGGGCAACAGGTGGGCACACCGAGACACAGGCCACATCTAGGGACACAGGGGACAGAGTCAACAACAGGAGGTTGAGGTTCACATACCTATTTTCACATTCTGAGAATCTGGAGAAAAGCGAGAGGGGTAAGTATGGTTTGGAGAGCAGGGGAGTCTTTAGGGGCAACAGGCACCAGAAAGAGAAACACTGTTCTAGTACAATAGCACTGATGAAGCTATAATGTGGATGTTCTTTTGGTTCATAGCATCCGTTACCATAAGGCCCATAGAACACTAAATAAGGAGCGGGAGAGAAAAACAGCAGAGAAGTCTGCTCCCAATCGGTTGTCTGACACAGGATCAATGCGAAGGTTATACAAAAGATTGATGCACTTTGGTCTTTATGTTCCAGACCAAGTGTGTGTTCTCTTCTGGACCTTGAACCCATTATGGGAAAGAAAGCTATAACTCATGTAAAAATAAATAAAAATAACACACACCAAGGGTTGAGCTGGGAAAGAGTGTATGGGAGAGAGCACAGGAAGTGTCTGAGTGAAAAGAAAGAGAAAATACGCCACTTTAGGCGGGAGGACATGACAGTATTAACACTCCTCCAACAACAGCCTCTAGCCATAGATTGAATGACTCCATGCATCAATTTGAAAGCTCTCTGCAACTGTGTGCATGTGTTGGTGTGTTTTTGTGCTATTATCCCATGACCATGCACTGCATAGCTGATAGCCGGAGATAACACAAGGGACTTCAAAAGTAATTCAGGCCTACCAGTCAAAACACTACCACCATTGGGGGGGGGGGGGGGGAAGAGGGGCAGAGATGGGAGGAAAGCCTCACCTTAACCCCTATCAACATCCCCACACACCATCCCAAACCACCACCATCACCCTAGCCGTGCTGGGAATCCTGGCTGTTCAGGAGGATTTGGGTTTTCCCTTCTAAAAGGGGGTGTAAAACCAAGGGCTTGAGATTCAAGGAAGCCCACTCCGAACCTAAGAAGTTGTTGATTGTACGGTATTATCAGGGATTATGTGTGTTGAGCCAGAGTGGCATGTTCCTTTCTTGAACCAAAGTGTTGTGCCACCCCCTCTCTGGGTTGGCCCGGCTCTGGTGTCACCCCAGCCATTCATCCCAGAGGGGGAGAGAAGGTGACAGGCTTTACCGCTGGACCCGGGCCAGCGTGCTTCAAAACACAACCAGCCCCAAACATTAAGGCATAACAGGAAACTAGCCACTTATCAATTGATGGACTTTCGTGAGGTTTCACACTTCACTAACAAGATTTCCCCTTGTCTGTCCTTGGCTTACAGTACACAACATCCACTACACTCCTCTCAGGGGATTGGCTTTCCACTGCTATTACTCGTGTGTGTGTGTGTGTGTGTGTGTGTGTGGTGGGGCAAGAGTGTCGGTGTTCGAGTGTGTTGTTTATGTGAGTAACAGTGTTTATCTAACGATCTTATCGAAGAGAAGACAGGGCAGCATATTCCTGTTGGATAATGGGGCCGGCAGGGGGTGACAACCACTACTACATTTGGCACACTGTAAGCCTGTTGGCACTCAGTGGATAGAATAGGACAGGAGGTGTGGAGAGCAATCCAGGAGTATACACTATACAAAGTATATGGACTCCTGCAATTATAAATCTCATAATAACCTGCTCAGTAAAACGTATTCACTCTACCATAACATGACATGAGGAAAGGTACTGTATGGCATTGTATGAGCTACAGCTGCACTGGAAATAGATTTAGACTCATTTCAGAGAGATCAATGCCTGTTCCAAGTCCTGCCCTTCAGTCACGTCAATGGTATTTCGGGGTGAATTTTTCCCATCCGCCTCATTTCTGCATCGGTACGCAGCCAGCAAGCTCTGTGCCATGTTTCGCTATGACACAGAGCTAGATCCCGGCAGGAAAGGAGGACGCTTAATTCCTGAAATCAATATGTGGTGGGAGTCTTCGGCTGGAACTAATTTTTTTTTAATGTTTGGAAATAAGGAAAGAGAGAAGGGAGCTTTGGTGTTCCGCAAATCTGCGACATAGCTTCTGCAGCTGGGGGGTGTCGGGTGTACCAATGACGGAGGGGGATTTTTGGGAGGGGGGCTGTAATGATCATGCTGTGTGTTGGAGTGTGAGGGGAGTTACACGCCCACACTCCATTCCGCTGCTCAGCCACCCACATCAGAGGGATAGGGGGCCTCAGTACGCCCCTTCTATGCCCAGTTTTAACCCACCTGGGCCCCTAACCTTGGGAACACACCGGCCCTTGCCCCGGCCCCTCCACCTGCATTTCTAACAAGGCCCTGCTCTGCTTAATCTTTCACTCTTCACAGCTCAGAGAAACAAGTCTGTTTTGAGTGCTGGTACACAAATGGTTAAAATCTTGGTTTACTACGGTGTATGGTTTTGTATACCTGTACCTATATGTCTACACACATTCACAGGCAGTAACACATACACACACACAAAAACACACACACACAGACAAACAAAAAACACACACACCAGGGTTTCGTGACCGGGAAGATTTTAATTTTAATCTTTTTTTTTGTAACTATTCTTAAATGGTGGACATCAAAACAGTTAACACGCAATTGCATTTAGAATTGCTGCGCAATGACTGGGCTTATATAAAAACACATTTCACTCCAGCAGCAACGCGCTGATGAGCTGCAGCAGCACTGGCACTGAGGTGATATTCCGCTCAAAATAGGCTCTTTATATGGTGCGCGTCACAAATAAGATACACTTCAAGACCAAAAGTATGTGGACACCTGTTTGTCGAACACCTCATTCCAAAATAATGGCCATTAATATGGAGTTGGTCCCCCCTATGCTGCTATAACAGCCTCCACTCTTCTGGAAAGGCTTTCCACTAGATGTTGGAACATTTCTGCGGGGACTTGCTTCCATTCAACCACAAGAGCATTAGTGAGGTTGGGTACTGATGTTGGGCGATTAGGCCTGGCTTGCAGTCGGCTTTCCAATTCATCCCAAAGGTGTTCGATGAGGTTGAGGTCAGGGCTCTGTGCAGGCCAGTCAAGTTCTTCCACACCGATCTCTGTATGGACCTCGCTTTGTACACGGGGGCATTGTCATGCTGAAACAGGAAAGGGCCTTCCTCAAAGTGTTGCCACAAAGTTGGAAGCACAGAATCGTCTAGAATGCCATTGTATGCTGTAGCGTTAAGATTTCCCTTCACTGGAACTAAGGGGCCTAGCCCGAACCATGAAAAACAGCCCCAGACCATTATTCCTCCTCCACCAAACATTACAGTTGGCACAATGCATTGGGCAGGTAGCGTTCTCCTGGCATCCGCCAAACCCAGATTCGTCTGTCGGAATGCCAGATGGTGAAGTGTGATTCATCACTCCAGAGAACACGTTTCCACTGCTCCAGTCCAATGGCGGCGAGCTTTACATCACTCCAACCGACGCTTGGCATTGCGCATGGTGATCTTAGGCTTGTGTGCGGCTGCTAGGCCATGGAAAACCATTACATGAAGCTCCCGACAAAAAGCTATTGTGCTGACATTGCTTCCAGAGGCAGTTTGGAAGTCGGTAGTGAGATTTGCAATCGAGGACAGACAATTTTTACGCACTACGCGCTTCAGCACCCGGCGGTCCCGTTCTGTGAGCTTGTGTGGCCTACCACTTCGCAGCTGAGCCGTTGTTGCTCTTAGACATTTCCACTTCACAATAACGGCACTTATAGTTCACCGGGGCAGTTCTAGCAGGGCAGAAATCTGACAAACTGACTTGTTGGAAAGGTGGCATCCTATGACGGTGCCACGTTGAAAGTCACTGAGCTCTTCAGTAAGGCCATTCTACTGCCAATGTTTGTCTATGGAGTTTGTATGGCTGTGTGCTCGATTTTATACACCTGTCAGCAACGGGTATGGCTGAAATAGCTGAATCTACTAATTTGAAGGGGTGTCCAAATACTTTTGTATATATAGTGTACATGTAGACTAATGAAAATAAACACGCGCCAATTTAGTTCCACTAAATTATACAAATTAGCCTACAGACCGATAAGCATTACGGTCAAATGTATTTCCATATAGCGAGTGTGCACACTGGTATTGGCACGTGGGCTCTAGCCAACTGCACACTTTATCTGCGTGCTGTTGGCTAGAATGCAACATTTAGCCTACTTCGATATGATGGTTATTATATCAATGGGCGGGGTGTCCCTCCCGATCCCGTTGGGGAGTTGCAGTGACTGAGACAAAGAATCGTAATTGTATCGCTATGGATTCCGAACTTTAAACTAATTATATATTATATATTATATATATATATTATATATATCTCTCTCTTTTATCTTATATATACTCTAGCGAGCGAGAGAGGCGAGAGCGCGCAGGTGCGAGAGCGAGCGCGGAGATAGCGCGCGCGCGCGCGCGCGCGCCTCGCCGCGCCTCTCGCGCGCGCCGCGCGCGCGCCGCGCTCGCGCGCGCCGAGCCTCTCTCGCGCGCGCGCGCGCCGCTCGCGCGCTCGCGCGCGCGCGCGCTCTCGCGCGCTCTCTCGCCTCGCGGCGTCGCGCCTCGCGCCTCGCGCCGCGTCTCTCATCGCTCTCGCTCTCTCTGCTCTACTCCTCGCGAGAGAGTGGGAGAACAAGTATTTGATACACTGGCGATTTTGCAAGTTTTCCTACTTACAAAGCATGTAGAGGTCTGTAATTTGTATCATAGGTACACTTCAACTGTGAGAGACGGAATCTAAAACAAAAATCCAGAAAATCACATTGTATGATTTCTAAGTAATTAATTTGCATTTTATTGCATGACAAAGTTTCGGATATTTTTTTTATAACCCAACCCTGATCTGTACTTCTCCACAACTTTGTCCCTGACCTGTTTGGAGAGCTCCTTGGTCTTCATGGTGCTGCTTGCTTGGTGGTGCCCCTTGCTTAGTGGTGTTGCAGACTCTGGGGCCTTTCAGAACAGGTGTATATATACTGAGATCATGTGACCGATCATGTGACACTTAATATTGCACACAGGTGGACTTTATTTAACTAATTATGTGACTTCTGAAGGTAATTGGTTGCATCAGATCTTATTTAGGGGCTTCATAGCAAGGGGGTGAATACATATGCACACACCACTTTTCCGTTATTTATTTTGTAGAATTTTTTCAAACAAGTTATTTTTTTCATTTCACTTCACCAATTTTGACTATTTTGTGTATGTTCATTACATGAAATCCAAATAAAAATCCATTTAAATTACAGGTTGTAATTCAACAAAATAGGAAAAACGCCAAGGGGGATGAATACTTTTGCAAGGCACTGTAAGTATCGTGACGTCCCTGGCAATTCCCAGCCCTAATGAATGCTCCATTCATACATTACCAACCCAGGTTAAATGATTGAAGGATTCCCAGTTAAAACAGAACAAACCTGGTTTATAAGTGAAAAATCCTTTGCTACATCAGGATATCCTCCTACCATTGTGCTGCTGTAAATGAATGGACAGAGCAGCACATACACATACATTACATAATATTGACGTTAATATTGATATGGGTTGAGAGTGTGGATTCAATGATGGTTCATTTATATATATCATTGACAAATGATGGTTCATTGAGAATGGCCTAGATAAAAACACAGGTCAGCACAGCCCATAACACCACTACTGTTTATGTTTTTCAGTCTGCAGAGAATCACACTTTATATCTGGACTAGGAGGTTGACAGTTCAATGCCACTGAGCTAATAGGTAACTAAATGCTAACCATTCTAAATTGAATAAACAATTATAACATCCACAACTACAGTCATAATCACCATAATTAACTTACATAAAGGTGCTACACATAGGATTTTTTGCCGGAGTGGGAGAAAGTAACATAGTTGTAGTCACAATCTGGTTACCAAAAACGACAAACACAATTATGCTTTAGCGTTTTTACATATTTATTAACTTACAGATATCTTCGGCACTACCCAAAATGCACTATTTCTCAACGTAATGTGGAGAACCAGTGCTACCTAGCTATTTAGTTCCAGCTGGCTAACTTTAGCTACTAGCCATGCTAGCATGTAATTACAATTCAAACCAAGTTTGGTGCTGGTGAGCTACTATGTACATCCACGAAGAAGAAACCATATAAATTAATGCGAAAAACTGCAACGCCTCTTCTCCTGTGCGTTTGGTAGTGGTAGTCGAGTAAGTGAGTGAGTGTTGTAGTAGATTTACGTCGTTTGTAGCTAGTGCAGTAATACCCGCATAGTGCTGTTATACCCACAAGGACGGTGTTACAACTCATTTGTGGCCCAAAAACGACAAGCAAGCTTTGAAGTCGGAACGGTTTGTCCGGTTGAAGCGAGCGGATTGGAGTATGGGAACCCTGCGCATATCTACTTACACTACCAGTCGAAGGTCTGGACACACCTACTCATTTTCTTTATTTTTTACATTGTAGAATAATAGTGAAGAATTCAAAACTATGAAATTACACATATGGAATCATGTAGTAACAAAAAAAGTGTTAAACAAATCAAAATACATTTTATATTTGAGATTCTTCAAAGTAGCCACCCTTTGCCTTTATAACAGCTTTGCACACTTGGCATTCTCTCAACCAGCTTCATGAGGTAGTCACCTGGAATGCATTTCAATTAACAGGTGTGCATTCTTAAAAGTTAATTTGTGGAATATATTTCCTTCTTAATGCGTTTGAGCCATATCAGTTGTGTTGTGACAAGGTAGGGGGGTATACAGAAGATAGCCCTATTTGGTAAAAGACCAAGTCCCTATTATGGCAAGAACAGCTCAAATAAGCAAAGCGAAACTACAGTCCATCATTACTTTAAGACATGAAGGTCAGTCAATGCGGAACATTTCAAGAACTTTGAAAGTTTCTTCAAGTGCAGCCGCAAAGACAATCAAGCACTATGAAACTGTCTCTCATGAGGACCGCCACAGGAATGGAAGACCCAGAGTTACCTCTGCTGCAGAGGATAAGTTCATTAGAGTTACCAGCCTCAGAAATTGCAGCCCAAATAAATGCTTCAGAGTTCAAGTAATAGACACATCAACATCAACTGTTCAGAGGGGACTGTGTGAATCAGGCCTTCATGGTCGAATTGCTGCTAAGAAACCACTACTAAAGGACACCAATAATAAGAAGAGACCTGCTTGGGCCAAGAAACACAAGCAATGGACATTAGACAGGTGGAAATGTGTCCTTTGGTCTGGAGTCCAAATTTGAGATTTTTGGTTCCAACCGCCGTGTCTTTGTGAGACACGTGTGGGTGAACGGATGATCTCTGCATGTGT